GAGAGGGAAGACACAGAATCCCAAGCAGGCTCCAGGATCTGAGCTGTCAGCATAGAGCACAACACAGAGCTCAAATCCACAAACTGTGAGATAATGACCTGAGCCAAAGTCAGACACGTAACTACCTGAGCCACTCAGGCACCTTAAGGAAAGTTTGAAATACTGCAAGAATTACAAAATTGTGACCTAGAAATGCAAAGTGAACAAATGTTTTTAGGAAAATGGTGCCAATAAGCTTGCTCATCACAGAGTTGCCACAGACCTTCAAATTGTAAAAACTGTGATACCTGCAAAGCACAATAAAGCAAGGTATTCCTGTAATACTATGACAGTAGCTGATGTGTATAACCTAGAAAATAAACTCTCTATGGTAAGTACTTTTTTAAACAGGGGACTTCATTTTTTGTAAAGAGTTAATCATTTTTCAATCACATGTTTGACATATTTCACATATTCAAAACTATATAACAAAATTGACTATTGCTTAAAACAAAACAATCCATTTAGGGGAAACCATTTTATTTTATTTTTTTTATTTTATTTTATTTTTAATTTTTTTTTTTCAACGTTTATTTATTTTTGGGACAGAGAGAGACAGAGCATGAACGGGGGAGGGGCAGAGAGAGAGGGAGACACAGAATCGGAAACAGGCTCCAGGCTCTGAGCCATCAGCCCAGAGCCCGACGCGGGGCTCGAACTCATGGAGCGCGAGATCGTGACCTGGCTGAAGTCGGACGCTTAACCGACTGCGCCACCCAGGCGCCCCTAGGGGAAACCATTTTAAAAAGAATAGAGTTTAAGTTGCTATGAAATTGATAATATAAAAGAAAATAAACTGATTTTAATTACACATTTAGTTAATTCAAGTGTCTCTTGATATCTCCTCATATTAATTTAAGCTATAAAATTGCCTGTTGACAATCCATTTTTATAAACCTCTTGTCAAGAGAGATTTGCATTATCCATAATTTAGTTCTAGTTCTTTTTTTAAACAATAAAAAATTGTATTTATAATATGATTGTCATTTCTTATTAGACTTAGCAGTATATATTAGTGAATTGTTTGCACACTGTTTCTTCCTCAGTCATACTTCTTTATGGATTTACTTATTTATTAATGAAGTATGTCTTTCAGTATTTCTTCCACGTGAGGGTCAGAAACTATGTGTCATCGTATTCTTTTTTTATTCCACCCTCTCTCTTAAATGTTTCACTTTATTAATTGAATGTTATTTGCTTAGCACTTGATGTTTTAGCCTATTCTCTTCCAGCCTCTACTAATTCTGATGAGGTCAGTCTGACCGTTCCTTTGTAAACAAATAGCTTATTTCTCTCTTATCTCTATTCAATTCCAAGATTTCTCTTTAGTCCCCTGATGTTCTGCAATCCCACCGCAAAACAACTAGGTATAATTTATTTTTATCTAACTTTTTTATATGAGGATTCATCACTGCCTTCAGTTCAAGAAAATTTTCAGCCATCATTTCAAATATTTCTCCTTCCCTATGAACACTTACTTGTTACTAAAAGTCTTATTCAACATATGTCAGAGCTTCTTGATTTTGTTTTCTCCATGTCTCTTAAATGATCTTTTATATTTTTATGCTCTCTCTCTCTCTCTCTCTCTCTCTCTGTGCTGCATTTTGCATGCTTCAATCTTCCTATTCACTCATTTTTTTTCTTCTATGTGTAGTCTGCTTTACATACTTTCTGTTATTTTATCTCAATGATTACATTATTTTATTTAAAAGCCCATTTTGGCTTATACTCATGGAACTCAAGATTCTATACTAAATCTTAAAGAAATAATGCTATAATATTGAGACTGTAATTGCCCAAGGGAAAATCCTATGATTAGGCTGCAAGATGCATGAAAGAAAACATGTGTCATTATCTTGGTAGCCCTACTACCTAGCAAACATCCTGGAAAATTGCATTTTTTCAATAAATGTTTTCAGTAATGAAATAAATGTAAAGCAACTGAGTGTTCAACTTAATAGTAGTATATCTTAGTATGAATGGGTTGTCTTTACTGATTGTCAGTAGTTCAAATACAGTGATTTGCAGTCCAGAGATATATATATAAACACCTCAGGTGAACATGAAAATGCATATTCATAGGCCTCACCACAGAGTTTCTGATCCAGTAGGTCTTGGAAAATATCCTGCAATCAGATTTAGAAGTGGTACTGATAGGTGAACCAAAGATTCCTTTATGTGATTTAGTCAGCAGAGGGGACAGTGGAGACTGAGAGGAAACACCTTGGAATGAAGAAGCAAAAGCCAAATAATAGGAGAAAAGTTTGAGAAAAGCTGATTCTGGCTTCATCAAGAATCATATCAAAGCTTGATCATTTAAAAAATATGTACATGATGAATGCTTTGTCTTTTGCTCTGGGAAGAAGCATCATTTTATAGCATACCTGTTTTTTGTTTTAATTCTTCACATGGGTTCCTTTATTAAAACAATTTTGAATAGGTAAGAAAGGTTAATATTGGGTCTGTTTTCTTGTGGATTTTTTTTTAAAGGCTTTGCATTGAATTTTGTAGCATGATAGAATGACAATGTAATGTAATTTAGCTTAATATCTATTTTTTGTTAGATGACAGTTTTATTAAGCAGAACCAATAATCATCGTTATTCAGAGTCATAATGACCCATTATAAATGGTCTCATTTTTTAACTTTAATTTTACCTCTTAGAGTATGCCTTTGTAGAATTGCTAAAATGGTTACACTTAGTTTCTTTTATAAATATAATTTTAACAATCACTATGGAAACATAAGTCATCTAGTAGTTAAGTACCACTATTCTATATATTTGATACAAAACTATTTTAGTGTCTTGGTTTCTGTTAATTAAACTTTCAGGCAAGCACATTTCAGGAAATTAAATTACCATCCTTCATGTTTTGGAGGCTTAAATTGAGATGAATAGCCTTTTCTTTCTGGGATGCCACCTTTCTGACCCTTGTGTTTATTAGGATAGGAATTAGTAGTCAGATTAGACAAAAAAGGACTCATCTCCAACAGCCTCTAGATTAACTGGATTTAGAATACCCTCTTTAAAAATATCAACAAACTAAGGTAGTTTCATGTCTATTACACATTTTATCTTAAAGCAAATAAATTTAGGCAACTCTCAGATTGTTTTCTGTCCCAAAAATTGTACCAAGAGATTGGAATTTGGAGAGAAGAGAGAATGAAGTTATTTAGGTCATGGATGCTTCAGAGCAAAAAGGACATTAGAAATTCTTCAATTTGAAGGATGTTTTATATAACATTAAACATCTACTTAATGTTTTATAGTTTGCAGAGCATTCTCACTTGCATCTTTTCACATAGGCCTAAACCCTTTCTCTCAGAGGAAGAGCATTATTAGTCTGAATTTACACTGCGGGTACTAAGTGTCAGAAAAATTAACTCACACCCAAGCCAGTTACCTAGTTCGACTGAAGGCGAAGCTTATGCTTTTTTCCACAACATCAGAGTCTTGATAGTCAGAGCACATCCCAAAGGCTCTGGATGTCTGGGAACAGAGGTAAAAGGTCAAAAAAGTTCAAAAAATGAAGGGTGAAGGTCATCTTAAATACAAACTTTACTAGCTTTATATTATTGTCCAGGGACCAGCATGCAACAATTGCTTAGAATTCAAGGAAAGTCAACCTCTTTCAGTTTCTGTCATGGGCACTATAGGTGGCTCCTGTTGCTTTTGAGTAATAATTCTATTTCATCTATACATGATTAAATATAACTTTCTTCTATAAAATTTGTTCCTGGATGAACTAAAGATGTATTTTCAAGCATTCAAGAATGTGTACAGGAAGAAATCAGATCCATTCATGGAGGCAAACATGGATGATAACTTATGATGCCATTATGCAATTTAATATTTTACTTTATATTATTCATTTATTTATTCAGTAAGTAATCAGCGAATGCCAGAACCGCATTTATACACTGAGCTCATAGAGAAAAAGACACAGCCTCTGACCTTACAAAGCTCACACTCTGGTTGGGGAAAAAGGCATTAACAATACAACATGGTAAGTAATATAATAGACTTCATTGCAGGTCATGGCAATACAGAAGAAACTTTAAACCAACCTTCCAGTAATTTTTTTAAATGTTTGTTCCACCGTAATTCATTACACACATGCATACCAATGACTGAAGTTTGCATGTATGCATATATGTATGTAGTGTATAGCTTTACTCTTGCTAAGTTGCCACTTAATTTGTAAATAAAATAATGTTCTCAAATTTGTTGAAACAGAAAACCTTACATAGAATGGTAAATTAGAATTGCTTTGATTGAGCTTGGAGCATGTGGTTTAATATAAGAGATACTGGGCTGTCTATATTAATCGAGGTCTTGATAAGCCACACTGATAGTTGCATTTTAGAAAGTCTTGGATAAATTAATGAAAGAAATGCTGTTATTTTTATCCTCACAGATGTTTAGTTTCTGGGTTATAATCATCTCTTAAAATATTAGAATCACTGGAATCCTGTAACTACCCAGGAATTCTGCTAGTCTAGCAAAGTCTTTAAGATAAAGCTAAAAAAAGAAAAGAAAAAGAAAAAAGAAAAACCCCCCACAAAATCTTGAGAAAATAGGGCATTTCTGCCAATATGTCTTGTGTCTATGAAGCTCTTGGTCATAAATTATAGTCTTCTGAAGTCGATGTTTTCTCTGCTTGAGTCTTTAGGTCAACTAGTTATATCCATTGAATAGTATAAATAATGCAAATTACATGAATCCTATCAAGTTGGTTGGTCAAATTTGTATTAACTTTAAGTGAAAACAATCGTGGAGTTTGGAGTAAGTCTTTATAGCCCAATTCTGAAGCCTTTACTGTTGTTGTCATTGTTTTTTTTAACATTTATTCATTTTGGGGAGACAGAGACAGAGCGTAGTCGGGGAGGGGCTGAGAGAGAGAGGGAGACACAGAATCCGAAGCAGGCTCCAGGCTCTGAGCTGTCAGCACAGAGCCCTACATGGGGTTCAAATCCACGAATGGTGAGATCATGACCTGAACTGAAGTCGGATGCTTAACCGACTGAGACACCCAGATGCCCCAAGCCTTCACTATTTTTGACCCTGGACAAGTTTTTTACCCAAGGTTTAGTTTCTTATCTAGAAAATGAGGATAATACCTACCACATAATTCTGTTATTCGGATCAAACACAATATATTACATAAAGAAATGATATAGCACCTGGCACAGGGTAGTTTTTGAGTCATCAATGCTTGTCTGTCTTCATGCTTCGCTACAAAACCTGTCCTGGATTATGCTTTTATTGTTTACACACACCTTCTTACAACATTCTGCTTTTTTTTTTCTTTTTAATTTTGCTGGGCCTTCAAACTCACCAGCAAGTAATTGGCGTCGCCCATATGAGCCAACCAATCAAAATATTACTTGAGTTGCATTTTCCCACCAAAAAAGATTGACACATTACCAATATTTTTCCTCTTGTTTTCTCGTAGTTCTAATGTTAAGTGATGCCTGGAACTCTACTATAATACCCATACTGAAGTATGTACAGTAAAGAATTGGGGATACTTTCTGAAATTCATCAGGGTTTAACAATACCATTTTATTTTAAAGACCAGATTAAATATAGATGCATTATTTGACACCCTATGGATAATTAAGCTTAGCTGATCAGAACTTGGTGCTAATATGTCAGGTTAGGCTTTTCTTTTTTTTTTTTTTTTAATTTAATTTTTCTCAACGTTTATTTATTTTTGGGACAGAGAGAGACAGAGCATGAACGGGGGAGGGGCAGAGAGAGAGGGAGACACAGAATCGGAAACAGGCTCCAGGCTCTGAGCCATCAGCCCAGAGCCTGACGCGGGGCTCGAACTCACGGACCACGAGATAGTGACCTGGCTGAAGTCGGACGCTTAACCGACTGCGCCACCCAGGCGCCCCAGGTTAGGGTTTTCAATCTCCTCCATACACTAATTATAATCTGATTGATTTTTCACTCACTGGGTTTTTGTTTTCTTTTGTTTTGTTCTGGGCTCACTGACTGCAGCTGTAACTTCAACTTGCCAATATACACCATTGCTCACAAGAGGACCAGATGAGAGAGTGTGAATGAATTTATTGCCAGCCCTTTCCTACTCCAAAAAACAAAACAATTTTGTAGATTTGTTGCTGATGGGTCATAGCACCATCTTCATATACAAATAACAGCATTTCATATGGCACTATTTTCAGTGTATACAATAATAGAGATCATGAGGAGACAGTACAAATTATCTTGGGCCATTGTCTTATTTATAGATTAAAGCACAATTATGTTTTCCACTGATTTACATTCTGACATCTCAGTTAATTATGTTATTTGCTTCTTCCATGCTTATTCTCCCCTTAGATCTGGTTTGACTATTCTTTTCTTTAGTATTCGTTCCCTTGTTAGATTGTTTATATTCTCTGAGTGGCAGGATACCTTTTTTTAATTATTATTATGAAAATGCTAAGTATTTACCTAATTACCCTTTAGAGAACATTGGAAGACAAGGCATTTGAACAAATGGATGAATACTGAAAGGAGAATAATTGAATTATTTCTGGAAGTCTCAGTGACTGTTATTTTTCTTACCTTCAATATTTTTCCTCTAGGTTACTATTTTTTTTCATGATAGTTTTCAAGCTTATAGTTGGTAACTTTTTTCCTGTTTGAAGAAATATCTCAGGAACATGAAAGTGCTCAGATAAATATTATCTATTTAAAAATGCAATAATTTGAGGACCTATATGTTCATTTATTTAGAATAGAAAATCATCTAATGCAGTATTTAATTTTATATTATGGATTTCAGTTCATATAGAAGTTTAAAGAATTTCAAATAAAATCTTACATCAACCCAAATGTTGAATAACTGATATAAAAAAGAAAGCATAGGCCCAACACAAATAATCAGAGAAGAATCTAATTAATTCATTTAGGGAATCAACTAGCCATCCATTATACAGTTATTGAGAGCCTAACTGTGCCAGGGATTTCTGTGGACACAAAGGTGAAAACATATAGCAAATCTCAACCAAACACACACACTTTTTTTTATCAGTAAGGTAGATAATGTGAATGTGTATACAAATTAACATCAATATAATGTAGTCAGATCTCACAGAGATATAAAAAGTCACTGAGAGACCACCTAGCCCAGTGGATAATCCAGTCTGGCAGACAATGTATGTTATTTCTGCTTCAATTTGGAATGCATTCTGATTGTTGCCAAGGAATTTTTAAATTATTATTATTAACTTTTGTATTGGATTGGTAATCTTTAAATTGGTTTAATTCCTTATGTACACACCATCCAGAAGTAGGATGAATAAGAGAATTTGATGAATGATAAAGGGTCACGTGGGATTAAACATTTGTGAAAAAATAATTTGAAATGTGGAATTCATTCCTAAAATGGAGAAGTGACTGCAAAATTCGGAACATGTTCGTGGAAACTCAATAGCACAAGCCCGGCATTGACAATCAGATTCACGGCTCTCTTCCTATCTATTCACATTGTTCCTTTAGGGGAAATTTGACAATGATGTCTCACAAATGTGTTGCCACTTTTCAAAGCTTCTTGCTAGCATTTTAGCAAAGTGGAAAGCAGTTCTGGCGTTTCGGATAAATGTTCCCCAAATCTTCCCTGCCAGACATCTCATTAAGTAGAAAGTCTCAATAGAGTAATATGTAAAAGCAATTTTAAATAGAAGTTTGATTCACAACATGGTTATTTTTGTAAATAATATTCTGGGAAGACTTCTGTGCTTTTTATGGATTTAATTTTACCTTTGGAGGTATATGCCTCTTCTTGTCATTGTGACCAGTAATATTACCCAGCCACCTATCATTCCTTTTCAAAGAGAATGGACTGTAAATAAGTGTTTTAAACTATTCCATAATTGACAAAAGACAATGCAAGAAATGACTATTTCTGAAAGGAGTATTTACTTATTATGTTCTCACATACATATTCACTGAAACATCAAATGCACCCCCTGCTCCCTAATGTGATGATGCTTTTTTGTAGTATCATTATAGTCCTTCTTTTAAATACTATGTTATTTGTAACTAAAATTCTTTAACTAAAAGTTGATACCGGAGAGCAGGGATTTTATTGTATTCATTGTATACACCTTTGTATCTCCAGCCTGGCCACAAACATATATAAGTACTTAACATTTTGGAAGGATGAATGACATCATTTATCAATGTTTGATACTTGCTAATATCTACTTATTTTTTAAATAAATATGGCTTTAAATGTGATTGTCTTAGTCTAATATTTTTGTTTGCTAAAATTGGATGAAACAATGCTGTGCAATCATTCTCTCTTATCTGGATTGCCTTTGTCCTAGTGTGTATTCTCATCCTCTCTAGATTGGCTACAGAAATAGCCTTTCTACTACTTACTTGACCTAAGTCAAATGTCACCATGCCTTTCTATGTCTAACTTCCCTCCCAGAGTGATATTTTCAGCACTTAAATCTGATTATGTCACACTCATGCTTCAGAACCCTTCAGTCCCTGCCCTTCACTCCACACTGACTCTAGATTCTGATGTTATTTTACCTAGACTTAGTTCCAGGGCCATAGGTAAAGTCCTGCCTTTTCTTTTTTTCTCCCTCAAGTGCCTCACATATGACATTCACTAAATATTGTTGAATAAACACTGCATGATTGAATAAATGAAGATGGCTTTTATAGTCCACTTGTGCTAAAATTAGGCAGGTGAGTTAGTTCATACAAGATCTAACAGAGCTGTCTGAAAATGGAGATGGATGCTTTAAACAAGCATTTCATACACTTGCCTATTCATAAAAGTTATCTGAGGTGTGTTTTAAAGATAAATATTTCTGGAGTCTGAATTTCCAAAGGAAACTTGAGAATCTTTATTATTATTTTTTTAAGTAACTGCTCTAAATGATTCTCATGTTCAGATAGGTTTGGGAGAGATCTCTTAGAGTACCAGTTAATAGCTGGAGACTCGACGGCTACTCAATGTGGAAAGCTGGACTATGTGACCCTAATTCATTCACTTCCACAAAGTTTGGGGTACTGTGATTCTAGTGGAGGTCACAGTTTATACATGTGTAGATGTAGGTGATTGATTTGGGATACCTGAATGCAGATAGGAGGCATTTGGGGACAAAAGACTACGTCCAAGTGTTACCAGATCTAGAGAGTTTTGACCACTTTTCAAGGACTCCAAGGGAAATTCTTCCCTAATCTCCAAGTTTGTTGATTCATTTAACAACTATTAATTGAATAGTTACCTACACACCCAATATGTATGAGTTCCAGTTCCAGGTGTTGGCAATATAGCAGTAACAACACACACTATCTCAGTGTTCTTTCAGCTGACATGTCACAACTCACCATGCTTGTCTCTAGAACTCTCCAGTCAAGTATTAGTTTTACAGCCACTTCGTTCTTAGGCAAATTGAAAATGATCATCCCCAAAGATCAATCATTATCCTTGTTAAAAATAAGTGTCCAGGTGTTTTGGTCTGACCGAAAACTCCAAATGGGTTCCCATGTCCTCTGAAGGTATAACAGTTGAGCTGAGATTATAGGGCACCACTTCTCCCCTTTTGGGACCCATTTATAACCTGTTGAGGAGTTTATTCTAGGCCTACTTCTGAGTCTATAGGACATAGATATTTACATTTTATATATGTTACAGGAAGCACAAAAAAATTCTTTTATCTAGGGCTATCATATTTTACTAGAAAATAGTTGGTAAAGGATTAAACTAAATACTCAATTTTCTACCTCTGGGACTCTTACAGGATGACAAGAACTATTGGGATTGTGTGGGAAATGATGAATCAGCTTACAATGTATTCCACAAACACTGATTATAGCAGTCATGTTAGATCTATTTTCACATACTGCAATCTCCATGCCAGGTGTAATGTACAGAATGTAAATAGTATATGGAATAATTATGAATATTTTGCTTAAAACCCAGTACTTTAACCATGGGTATTCATCACTCTGGATTTTAAAACTTTACATCTACTATAATAATGTCTATGGTGATAGAGTTGGGACCCTTGAGATCTCAATAATTAGGATTTTCCCTTTCCTCTGAGAGAAATCTTTTAAGAAAGTTGAATTTTATGAACATTGTCTTGAAAGAACATTGGCTCTTGTCTCTTTAGATTTCAGCCACTTGCCAAGACACTCATTTTAATTAGGGATAGAACACAAGCAGAAATAGAATTGTAACTAGCCCTCTTCTACGTAGAAAACTATGTTACTTATATTAAGAATATAATTCAATATACCGACTCTATTGTCTATGGGGCAATAGATTATTGCCCCATTATTGCAATGGATTATTCCATTGTTTCTTAACTCATTTTATTTTTTTAATCTTTAAAAAATATTTATTTATTTATTTATTTATTTATTTATTTATTTATTTATTTTAGAAAAAGAGAGAAAGGTTGCATGTGTGAGCAAGGGAGAGGGGCAGAAAGAGAGAGAGAGAGAGAGAGAGAGAGAGAGAGAGAGAGAGAATCTCAAGCAGGCTCCATGCTCAGCACAGAGCCTGACTCAGGCCTGATCCCATGACACTGGGATCAGATACTTAACCAACTGAGCCACACAGGTGCCCCTTAACTAATTTTATTTATTTTATTTTTATCTATTTTATTTATTTTTGAGAGAGAGACAGTGAGTGGCAGAGGGCCAGAGAGAGAGGGAGACAGAATCCAAAGCAGGCTCCAGGCTCTAAGCTGTCAGTGCAGAGCCCAATGCAGGACTTGAACTCACAGACTGTGAGATCATGACTTGAGCTGAAGTTGGACACTTAACTGACTGAGCCACCCAGGTACCCTTTAAATATGATTTTATCTTTGAACTTGGCATTTTTCTGCTCACTTTGATAATCCTACTCATATTTCAAGCTGTAGTGGTAGCACAGTGAAGTAAGGAAAATAGTTCCTACTTCACAAGCTGTGAAATTAAATGAGATATAAAATACAGTAATATAGTGACTGACTCTTAATATCTATACATTAAAATTACTGTGTGATTTATCTGCATTTTATGGGATGTTAAAAAATTGAGGTTTGAAATAGCTATGACTTGTAAATTTATACTTGTTCTAATAGAAGTGTTTTCAAACACTCTTGGCTTGTCATACCTAATGTTTATATGAAATGTGGTGGGTTAAAATGATGGACCTGAGACACGTGATGTTTTCTACCCTATAGTTTTGGGTCTCTTTCTTTCTTTTTCTTTTCCTTTTTTAAAAGTTTATTTATATTTCAAGAGAGACAAGGAAAGAGAGTGTGTGGATGTGCATGAGGAGGGACAGAGAGAGGGAGAGAGAGAATCTCAAGCAGACTGCAAGATGTCAGTGCAGAGCCCAATGCCAGACTTGATCTCACAGAATGTGAGATCATGACCTGAGCGAAAAGCAACAGTTGGACGCTTAACTGAGCCACCCATGTATCCCTACATTTTTGTTTTTAATTCTATGTGGTAGTCAAGGCTTAGATTTTTTTGGTATTTCATTTCTCTATAGTATTATTTCCATTTCAAAAAAAAACCAGATTACAGCACATACATACAATCAAATTGCTACATTTTCACAAGGAAATTCTTCTAAAGGCAAAGTCTGCTAAGGGCAATAAAAGACCATATTGAAACAAATTCAATTGAAAATAGAACTCTGCACCCACAGAAACTAAAAATAATAAGCATCAGTTTTGTTTGTTTGATTGTTGTGTTTGAGTGAAACAGTTGTATAGGTGTGGATGCTTTGGAAAATGGAAGAATTTTTCAAGAGCCAAGAATGTTATGCTGATTTCTGTGGGTGTATTTCCAAAGATCAGAAGAAAATGTACAGGTCACTAAATGGGGATTAAGAAACATAAACTCTTAATAGCTGACAGACCCACAGAAAAGCAAATGAACTACTTTGTCTTGGAGATTTTCCTAAAATTTCATTTACAGTTATAAAAATAAGATATGGAAAAAATGGGCTTTCTCAGCAGTGGTCTTTATGTCCATGGAGTGGTGCAATTGACTTATGAAAATAGAAAGCCAGGATATCAAAATAAATACCCTTTTTGTTTTATTTATCAGAATGAAGGAGATTTTTACTAATCCCTATGTAAATATAAGAGAGTTAAACCTTTTCATAGTTTCCTTTACTGTTCATATTTCCCTGGGATCTTTTGAAGGCAACTGCATCAAACACAAAAACACAAACATATTTTTAAAACTGGTAAATTAAAAAGAAGAAGAAGAAGAAGAAGAAGAAGGTATCTCTCTTCCTTCCATTGGTTTTACAAGCCCACATTTATGTATTTATCATTGTAATTACAGTAGTTCCCAATACTACCACTGACATCACTATCTACCATGTATATTGTACAGCAGGTTTCTTAAATTTTTCTACATTATGACACTCATTGAAAATAGCATTTGTATAGCACACTGGGGTGGGGGAAAAAAAAGGCTTCTTCCAGCAGAGACTGAAGGCTAGGGAAGGTCTGGGCCCCAAGCCCAACCCAGAAGCCCTGAGGGTTGTAAGCATCCGCTATCCTGGCACACCCACAGCCCATTTGCACACATCAGGGTGTATCGGCATACCAGTTGGGAAGCTCTGTGTTTGATTTGAAAGAAGTGATAACATTTTAAACAACTGCATGCTCCTTTGTTTGTGTGTTTGCTTGAGCCTAAATTTTAGCAAGAGATATTTCTGTATATTGTATCTCAGCTTTCTACTGCAATAGATTGCTTCCAGTGTCCCCAGTGATGAAGATGATGATAACCAAAGATTTGAGCTTTATGTCTCAGGTAAATGCAGTTAGCAAATGTGACTCTTTTTTTTTCATAGTGACCTGGTTTTTTTTTTTTTTTTTCTCCTGAAACTTTTAACAAAACATTGGGGGTTCAAAGTAGTAAATTGAATTTCTGAGCAGTTGTTCCTGAGGTAATTATTAATTACTGTTTGGGGAAAACAGTAAGGTGACATACCTAAGTAACTCAATTTATTTTATTTTAAACCTCTTTTATTTTTTAGTTTAATATATAATGTTTCTCATCTAACTTGGGTATAATAATCACAGTCTCTAAAACAGAATGAAGCATGCCAAGCTTTTTAGCGTTAGAGAGAAATGTCTAAAATGATTAGAGAGGTAAGAGGGAGAGATGGGAGGAAAAGAGAGAGGGTTGGGGGAGAGGGGGACATAGACTTATCAGTTTCTCTTACTGTGTTCAAAATTTAACAATTCTTTCTGTCTAGAAATTGTTATATGTAGCTTTAATCTCTTCTACTACAAAGCAACTTCATTTTCTTTTTATGTCTTGGAGGGCAGGGGTTCCCAAGAGTGTAAGAGAAGTTAAAGAATAACCAGCTGTACAACCACGATTGGGTAATGTTGACACAACTATAAAATAAAAGCTATTCCACTTGTTCTATAGCCCTTAAACTTTGGAAGAGTGTCCAATAGTGGAAAATTAAAAAAAAAAAAAAAAAGTCTGTCTTGTTTTGCAGAGGAAAAGGATCATGAGTCTGTCTATCCATGATAGATTAGGTCAATTGTATTTCTTTCCAAAGCTTTTAAAAACACAAGTGAAGGCTGAAAGAAGTTGTATGTCATCATTATGATGTCAGTAACCTGTGACACTTAAGTAATTGATTCCTATGTTCATTGTGCTTTATTAATAATCCTTTGTATATTTCCTGACATATTATCCTGCCCCTACTTCCATAACAATCTCTTCAATTTTGAAGATAGTCTCATTGCAACATGTACTCATGAAGGCTGGTCTCATCTGTTGTAGATTGAGATCATGTATCAGGAATACCCTTTGAGCTTTTGTGACCTTTAAGCCAGTGTGAAATTGGATCACAATTACAGAAAAATACCCAATCTGTAACTATTTGTCTCAGACTTCTTAATGGAAGCTCTTGTACTTGAAATGACTTAAGAAGACTGTTCAACATCAAATCCTTTTCGAGGAACTTACTGAAGTACATTTGAAGTTTATCATACTGCTAGGAAGTTTTGGAGAACCTGTTGGTTTCAACATATGTGTCCCATGATTTTACCTTTTGTGCTTCAAATGGACTAACAATGGATTTTTCTCATCATTATAGAACATGACAGATCCATTTTCTCGTTTTGAAGTTCAGATCACATGAAACTATACCAACTATCTCTAATATAAGATTTCTGATATTCCTTAACACACATAATGCATTAAATTTACCCATATATACACTGTTTATTAGCTTTATTACAAATATTGAATTGATGCATAGTTAAAATGTCTAGAAATTATTAAACACATAAGAAATGTACATTATCATTATAGCATTGAGAGAAACAAATGAGGTGAGTTTGTGCTATGTCACTTATTATCTAGAAATAGTTCTTCCTCTCAGATTTTTTCCAAATCGATAATTAAATAAGTCCTGAGTACTTGTAGTTCAGAGAAAAGATTTCCAGATGACCACACAAGAAAACTTTCACTTGTGAATAAATTTCTATGATAGCTAAATTTATTTCTAGAACACTATCAACTAATGGTTCCTATTAAGCCATTTTACAACTTTGAGTTTCTATAAATTATGCCATTTGTGAGTTATGATTCTTTTTTTTTTTTAATTTTTTTTTCAACGTTTATTTATTTTTGGGACAGAGAGAGACAGAGCATGAACGGGCGAGGGGCAGAGAGAGAGGGAGACACAGAATTGGAAACAGGCTCCAGGCTCTGAGCCATCAGCTCAGAGCCTGACGCAGGGCTCGAACTCACGGACCGCGAGATCGTGACCTGGCTGAAGTCGGACGCTTAACCGACTGCGCCACCCAGGCGCCCCGAGTTATGATTCTTATAACAGTCTCTTACCAAGTACTAATTGAACACATTTTCTGTCAAATAAACTTTACTATTTTTTTTTAGATTCTTGATTGAACTATTAGCTAATTAGAATACTACTTTTCCTATGAAATTGGCAGGTCTAAGGTTTTCTCAATAGTTTAATGACTAATTTGAGTGAATTTGTTTGGCATCCTATGGAATTAGTCTAAATGATCTTTTGTTAAGGGAAATTCAGTTTAAATAACAAAATTTAATTTGAGAAATGTAGCTCCATTCACCCATTTAATTGATT